TCTCAACAAATAAACAATGTGCGAATAAATTCACTTTTTTATAAGAAAACTTACCTTGCAAGTGCTAAATCCCAGTTTGTGGGCCTCTCTATGAGTTGTGGACCTCGAAATTCTCCTTCCAACAGCGTCACTCCACAGAGCACTTAATTGTAAATAATTGACACGTCTGTTTTTCACGATTATTCTTCTTAATGCTCTTCGGTCGGCATTTGTGATATTACTTTTTTTCACATATCGTGGCTTAATATTAACTGAACCAGTTACGTTATATCTTCTAACGATATTTCTCACACTGTAACGCGATAAGTCTAACAAAGCTGCAATTTCCGAGTTTGATTTCCCAGAATTAGAAAATTTAATTATCAGTAACCGAATTTTCTCACTAATAACCTTTCCTCTACCCATTTTGAAAACCTTAACTACCCAAAACTATTTTAAACGTATTCTGACAGCTGTGATTAATAAAAACAAATGTCATGGCTTTTATTTTTTACAGCCACCTATGCGTTATAGACTTATTTTGCATTGAAATGAAAATAGGTTGATATGCTGTAATTGCAACATGTGTTATTTTTATGCTGCAAATTTGATTAGGAAGTGATAAAGTTGGTGTTTTCTACTATATATTATCAAAATATTCATTGTTAATATTTTAAACCTATAACTCTCTGCTACATTTTTATTATTTGTGTTTGATAAGAAAAAACTAAGATTTCAATAGTTGGGCCAACTGAAGTGGGAAGGGGCTCGTATGTAAATCAGCAATACTGGATTAAGCCACCACTGGGCCTGTATCAAATTATATCAAGGGAGCCTTGTTTGCTTTAGGTTTATAGTATTAAATAAAAGGAAACACTTATAAATTCAATTTGGTCAAATTTCGAAATAATGTCATCCATGTCGACATCTCTTAAACCATATCCAATATTCATCAACGAATGTGAATTTCTGGCGCCGTCAAGCCGGGTACAGGCCCCGTGTGTCCCTAAACGTCCCATACCTCAAGCACGTAATAGCGAGTGCCGGTGTCATGAAAAAACATTGTTAAAGACGTATCCTAGGCTTTGAATCATGTTTCGAAAATAAATGCAGCAGAGTTATTTTTTTAAGCATATAAAATACAAGCATAACATGTGCAAATGAAAATGAAAGATCACCTATTTGGTTTGACGTTTCACCATATCTACTAGCAAATAACAAACTCAACGCTATACCCTCGATCTCAAAAAATTATTCGAGGTGAAATGCCAACCTAGGTTTTCTTCAGAAAACAAATCTGAGCCCGACATGACACATGACCCGCCTTCTTGCATCATGAAAATGGCCAACATTGGTCCAAAATATCGAGAATTAGATCTAAAGGCCTATCAGACCAATAGCTCAAGTAAAAACTGCTATCTATATAGGCGGTTAGGCTGGTCCATCTCCTTCACGGAAAAAATTAATTTAGTGCATTTTTCGTTTCGGAAGGCAATCGAATTGTCAGCCCAATAAAAACTAAAATTTCGAAAAAGCGCTTCTGACCGAAAATCTGCTGAAAGAATCATGATATCGTAATTTGGAGGTGATTTTTGTCTTCCTTAGACAATTTTGCTTAGGAATAGTCGCATATTATAGGGGCATAATGCTATACATTGGGAATAACGAGAAAATGCGAAGTTCCCAAAACGTTAAAATTCACATTTTTGCCGAAACTGCAAACTATGAGCGCATCTCCAGATAGACCGTTCGACCTAGGAGCCTGAAATTGTACAGAGCCGCATGCCTCCACTGGTACTATCCACGAAAACAAATTGAATCCAGGTTGTAGAATTTCATTAAAATGAGAAACAGCTGTGACAAATTCTCGTGTGGTATCTCATTTTACATCGGATAAATCTTCGGGAATATAGCATTAGGTTGGCTATCTTCGGGTAGAATACGTTAACCAGTGATTTGACCCAGCTTTTTTGGTGTAATTTCTATAAAAATTGATCATATCGGCAGAAGCTATGTGACTTACGTTTCCTTGTTGTAGCTCTGGTTGCATATGTAAACACTAAATGATTCATTCATGTTATTTTAATCCACCGTTACAAGATTTACAATATTGTCAACAGATCTGCTGAAATTGAGAAGTCAACTTTATAATTCTCAAAATGTTAATAGGTACTTCGAAGGAAATCTCCACAAACCCAGGAACACGTATTTATTTATTGGCAAATCTCACTGAAAATTGTGAATATTCCTTTGAATTCGAAAGTATCGAGATATTTTTTGATATTATCATCCTTTCTTTATATTAAAATTTTTCCACTACTACTATATTCCATTATCCGCAATATATGTAAGTGACACTGAAATTGAAAATTCACATAGCCTGCCTCAACTGCAGTATTTCTTCAGACATCATTTTGCGTCGATCTGCAATTCCCTAACTGCTGAAAAAGGAAGAAAGTGAAAAAGAATTTGTCCCCTTTTTATTTAGTCTGATTAGTCAGTTCAAAGACCGTAGACGGCGCTGTAGTAGATATCTCATTTTACATCGGATAAATCTTCGGACGCGGAAATAAGCATTAGGTTGGCTATCTTCGGGTAGAATACGTTAACCAATGATGTGACCCAGCTTTTTTGGTGTAATTTCTATAAAAATTGATCATATCGGGAGGAGCTATGTGACGTACGTTTCCTTGTTGTAGCTCTGGTTGCATATGTAAACACAAAATGATTCATTCATGTTATTTTAATCAACTGTTGCAAGATTTAAATATTGTCAACAGATTTGCTGAAATTCAGGAGTCAATTTTATAATTCTCAAAATGTGAATAGGTACTTCGAAGGAAATGTCGACAAACCCCCTTTGAATTCGGAAGTATCGAGATATATTGGGATATTATCATCCTTCTTTTATATTAAAATGTTTCCACTACTACTATATTCCATTATCCGCAATATATGTAAGTGACACTAAAATTGAAAATTTACATATCCTGCCTCTACTGCAGTATTTCTTCATAGATCTTTTAGCGTCGATTTGCAATTCCCTAACTGCTGAAAAAGGAAGAAAGTGAAAAAGAATTTGTCCCCTTTTTATTTAGTCTGGTTAGTCAGTTCAAAGACCGTAGACGGCGCTATGGTATCTCATTTTACATGGATAAATCTTCGGAAGCGGAAATAAGCATTAGGTTGGCTATCTTCGGTAGAATACGTTAACCAATGATTTGACCCAGCTTTTTTGGCGTTATTTCTATTAAAATTGATCATATCGGGAGAAGCTATGTGACTTACGTTCCCTTGTTGTAGCTCAGGTTGCATAAGTAAACACAAAATGATTCATTCATGTGATTTTAATCTATTGTTGCAAGATTTACAATATTGTCAATAGATTTGCTGAAATTAACCAGCCAATTTTATAATTCTCTAAATGTTAATAGGTACTTCGAAGGAAATCTCGACAAGCCCAGGAACACGTAATTTATTTATTTATTGGCAAATCTGACTGCAAATTGTGAATATTCCTTTGAAATCGGAAGTATCGAGATATATTGGGATGTTATCATCTTTTTTTTTATACTAAAATTTTTCCACTACTACTATATTCCATTATCCGCAATATATGTAAGTGACACTGAAATTGAAAATTTACATATCATTTCCTCAGAAATCTTTTAACAACGACCTGCAATTCCCTAACTTCTGAAAAAGAAAGGAAGTGAAAAAGAATTTGTCCCCTTTTTATTTAGGCAGTCATTAGTCAGTTCAAAGACATTGTTTATACAGGGTGAGCCATAAAAGTGTTGGCAATTTAAATATTCAACTAAAAAATAACTACGCAATATAAAAGAGAAAAAAATGTATTTTTAAAAAGTAGAAAGATAGGAATTTTTAAGGCTTAAAAATAATGTTGTTCAAATGACTTCCTTCGGCTGCTTGGCACTCTTGAAAGCGAAGCTGCAGATTTTGGATAACTCGTTGAAAAGTTATTCTCGATATTTTGTTACTTTCCTGAACAATATTCCTCTTCAGCTGCTCTGAATTATTTGGATTATTCTCATAGACCACCGATTTGAGGTAGCCCCATAGGAAATAATCACATGGAGAAAGATCGGGGCTACGTAGTGGCGTTTCCGAAATGAGTTTTCCGGGAAATTCATTTTTTAGTAGCTGTATAGATACCCTCGCTGTATGACAAGTGACCCGATCTTGTTGAAACCACATTCTAGAGGTATTGCCTTGGAGTTTTTGCAAAGCTGGCACCAACAACTCTGTTATCATATTGCAATAATTGTTAGCTTTAACTGTCATCGCTTGCCCTCTTTCGTCCTCAAAAAAGTACGGTCCAATAATACCGGTTGACGTAATTCCAGCCCACACGACTAGTTTAGGGCTGTGGAGTGGACGTTCATGTAAGTGTCGGGGAGCAGTTTCGGACCAGAACCGACAATTTTGTTTGTTAACGTGGCCATTGAGGTGAAAATTGTCCTCATCACTAAACATCACGTTGTTAAAACTGTTGAATCGGTCGAGCATCAAATTGACAAACTTAAGTCGGTTATTGGCGTCATCTGGTTTTAATTCTTGAACTAGTTTAATCTTATAAGCCTTCAAATGCAAATCACCCTTCAAAATTCGCCGCAAGCTCGTTCTTTTGATGTCCAAAGCCTGACTTCTCTTACGTGGACTGTTGGGGATTTCGCTGAATTGAAACACGAACACGCTCTACATTGTCGGCTGTTCTTGCAGAAACTGGACGACCACGAGCTGTTATTGCTACTGTCGAGCCGGTTGTTTCGAACTGATCCATTTCCATATCACATTGGCGCTTGGAACTTCTCTTAAATCGCATAAACCGTGTTCATGTCGATACAAACGTCGTACAGTAATAACCGATTTATTGTTTTCATAATACGCTCGGACACAAAATGCACGCTGCGCTCCCGTCGCCAACAATCTTATGGCCCACCCTGTATATAATTTCCCCCCAGCGACTGTAGTGCAGAAAATAAAACTTGCCTGGCAACGTTGCTTGAGGTAGGAATTGACAGATGACAAGGTGACGTTGTTTTTAATTTAGGTTAAGATAATTTGATGGTTCTAACAAAAATGTATATTTTTGGAAAGCCAACAAATTAATAAATGGTCCTAGGATGAAAAGTTCATTATAATAGAAAATGTCTTCTATACCCCTACCTGCAACTCAGCGCGACTGCATGTCAGCAGCTGCAAAACGATGGAAATACTTCAGGAAAATATTCAAATTTGAACAAATGGATTTTGAATTCGCTTTTTGGCAAATGTTGTATCTGTTTATATCTCCTCAAAAGGTTTATAGAAACTTCCACTACAGAAAACGTATGATATTCGGTATAAGCTTGTGTTGCCTTCATTATAAGGTTTTTTTTTTAGAAACAAAGAGTCAATTTGCAAGGGATGACCCAGCTTTTTTACTACTATTTGCAGCTTGGCTTTGTGGTATGTGTATTTGTTATATTCAAAAAAATATATAATCAACTGACACCCACTTGTTGATACATTAAATTTGAATCCCTATCCACCTTTTTGAAAAGTGGGTTCCATCTACAAATGTTATATTGTTAATAAGGACACACTGAGTACTTGGCCGATTTTAGCGAGTGCCCAGTTCAGTCAGGTAGTAAGTTACTTGACCGGTAATCTCTTGAGACACATAACAAGTCAAAGAATTACAGATGTGATGTGAAAGTTGGAGAGTAACATGGATAATGAGTTTCCCTCGATTTTCCCGAAGCCTTACTCATATGTAAGGATAATTAAGGTTTACTTCTTCTACCATCTGAATTGGTCCCACCACATCAAGTAGTTTTAACTGAGGTCTGATTTGTAACCTCCTCCCAGAAGCAGCTCGGAAACACATATAACAATTCAATTTTCTTGTTGACCATGTCATGTCAGCAGTTATATTGGGTAATTTGAAATTGCCTACCTACAACACAAATGTAGGTTTAATATGTTAAACACATACTTTTTGGATACCTTACAAATGTGCTTCTCTTGCAGTAGGAAAGCTTGAAAAATATATCAAAATCAAATTTTTCCAAAATATGGTTAGAATTGTAGCTGCTGAATTCGACAGTGAAAAATATATAACCAAGCAGTTGCAAGACTCTTGAAATATTTAAAAAACTAAACTTCTGAAAATACTCTAAATAGACTAACCTACAGCATTTCACTTTTTTGTGGGGCATTAATTTTTCTGAAGAGCAAGTCAACTTTCGGAAACACACCTCTCAAAAACACAAATATGATCTTAATGTAACTGAAAGTAGATAACCAACTAAGATAGTACTTAGTACATCCCTAATTGTTAATGTTTTTTGCAGTAACATCAATTGGATTTGCTATTGTCTTAAAACTGAGCTTCCTACAATTCATCCATTTTCTACTATATACTATATTTGTGGACTGTATAATAATAGGGATATTGGTTGCAACATTTTTTTGGTGAGTATTCATATTTAAAATATGTTATGAGTATATGAAGCATCATTTTAGGTTCATACTCAATCGATATTGTCGTAAAAAAGATGAAGTTCAAGATGTGGAATGGGGCTACACATTTGATGTCCACTTGAATGCTTTCTTCCCACCTTTGGTGTTGCTACATTTTTTTCAACTGTTTTTCTATAATGGTACGTTTGAAATTTAGGGCTGAGCAAATTGTTTTTTATATTCTATTACCAGGGCAACATGCGTTAAGGTCTCAGTAACTGGGCAAGTTCAGAAATGTTTCATACTGGACCACACAATCACCTGATCATGATATCTTACCAATATATAAATACACTTCTTAGCTTATGGAAATTTTTAGATAACTGTCCTTTACATTTTCTTCACTTAATAGTTAGATGTCTCTCAGGCAGTCAAAAACATACGTCTGGTCACACTTCCCACAAAATTGTTTTCCCTCAGTTATTAGATAAATATTGTTTCTAATTGATGCCGTTTTTTATTTGTAGGACTTATAAGCCATGAATGGTTCATTTCACGACTGCTGGGCAACACATTTTGGCTAGTAGCAGTATTATATTATATTTATATAACGTTTCTCGGATATAGTTCTTTAAATTTCTTAAGGTATACTCATCTAGTGATTTCGCCTATACCACTTGTCATAATTTTTTATATTGTAACACTAGTTAGTGGCTTCAATATCACTCATTCATTAATGGACTTTTATAAGTATAGAGTTGTATAGAATCAAATATTAAATGAACCACTTGTAATATATTTGAACATATTTTTATTAAACAGATATAACAAATTTCTTTTGGTTACGATAACCTTGAAGGAGAACCTATAGTATATCCTATTTCACGAGTATCCATCACACGTTTTGACGTCTACTGAGGTGAAGAGCTGATGAACAAGTCACATCTTTGTATTATTCTGTGACCACTGGCAATAATGAATCGGTTGCAAAACTAGTAAAACTTGCTTGTAGCGTCTTTCTTTTGTATGCAAATGAACTTTGTCTAAATGAGAGTTGTTAGCAAGTACAAAATGAATCTGTAGCGTATAAAAAACAAAACAATATTCGGGTTTGTCTACCTGGCCTTGAGGGATCCATCAGAATTATGTCATTTGGCGATATGGGGAATTTTGAAATAACACTTAATAATCAGCTGTCATTCTATCTTGATGGATACTCGTGAGAAAGACCATAGAACTCTACAAATAACGCAGATCTTTTACAGGTTATAACATGTGAGTATAGACTATTTCACGAGTATCCATCATGATGGAATCACAGCTGGTTATCTAGAAATATATCAAAATTCCCCATATCGGCACAGGACACGTAATTCTGACGGATCCGTCAACGCCAGGTAGTCAGAGCCGAATTTTGTACGCTACAGATTCATTTTGTACTTGCTAACAGCTCTTTTATTTAAAAAAGTTCATTTGCACACAAAAAACAAAACGCAACAAACAAGTTTTCCTAGATTTATACCCGACTCATTATTGCCAACGTTGCAGACTAACACAAAAATGTCACTTGCTGATCAGCTGTTCACCTCAGTAGACGTCAATACGTGATGGATACTCGTGAAATAGGGTATATATACATCCTGAAATCAAAAATTATAACATTGTTATCTTCAAGGAGAATGGTAATCTTCTATATCAACATCACTTCAGAATTTTAGGATTTGAAACCTTGAAGATCCTTGGGAGCATTTCAGTTAATGACTGAAATACCTGATTTGATATGCCCTGAAATAAGTACAGAGATAATTATCGTTATGAATGAATGCCTGTAGTATGTACTCATCACAAAAAAGTATATGCTTATATTCATATATAATGTTATAAATTTCATTAATCTGAAATTTTTATATGCCTAAACAACCAAGGTCGGATGAGGACATAAATTGCTTAAGTAGTTCAGACTCAAAATATTACCTATATTCATATATAATGTTACAAATTTCATTAATCTGAAATTTTTATATGCCTAAACAACCAAGGTCGGATGAGGACATAAATTGCTTAAGTAGTTCCGACTCAAAATATTACCTGAGGCAACATGAACTGCAAGTTTTTCAAATCAGACCCTCCCCATGATGCCATCTCGATCATAAATCCTTTCACACATTTGAAAACTAGTTCAGCTCTTTTCTCACACCAAGAAACAGTCATTTCCTGCAAAAAAAAAAGTCGAGTGGATCGAATCTATACTTCGCACGCATTTATACAGAAGGTCCAAAAATAAAATGTCAATCTCTTATATACATACAGGGTGTCCTCGAAATTTGAACTTGTCTTTTCAGACGGTATAGGTCAAGCAATAATAACCAAGCTTTCCTAGTAACACATATACCAAAGCCTTACAGTATCGCGCAGACAGACAAGCGTTCAAGCCGCGTTCGTCCGGTCAAGTCCTCTTACGAGTTCTAACACAGACGGGAGGCAGTCATGAACACTGCGTTCCATTTTACGAAGATTACTTGTAGGTGAAACATGTATTTGGATAGTCCGTATTCGGAAGACAAAGCATTGCGTTTGTGGCAGTATTTTCCCATTTCCGTGGCTATTTCAAGGCATGCTGTATTTTTTTATAGTCTAGTTTATTTTCTGTGGAAGACATCTTACGAACGAGGCGTTCCACGATTTCTTTGTATTTGATAATAGGACGCAAGAACGCGAGCGTTCACCCTGCCATTGCCGCTGTGTCTGCATGACTCTATAGAGACAAGATTACAAAGAACTCGGAGAGCTTTCTGTCTGTGCGAGCCCTAAGATGACCAAGAGTTCCGAAAAACACAGTCCGACCCTGCCTCCCTGCCCTCCTACTTCATTGTTTTAGCTGAAAAACTATTGTTTGATTTCAATAAAATTCGTAATTTTTAAGAAAAACGGCCTTGTGACCTCGTGCCAACAGATAGGACCTGTTCCTATCGATTTATACTACAGCCACTTCAAAAAAATCTAAAACTGAATCTAGCGCTCTAAAAATTTAACAGTTTACGATTTTTCGGGTCGCTAATTACGAATAATCATTATAGTCAAGAGCCAAAATCAATGGAACTGTACTCAAAAACGGTTCATTTTAGCGATGTCGAAGAAGTATACACTTTTCAGATTAAACTTAATGTCTTTCCAAAAATGTATCTTTGCTGGACCATAATTATAGAGTGTAAAAATGTTGATATTGTGTTTGGGTTAGTCCGTTCTTGACAATCGAGTTAATTGTTTTCCATTGTTAGGCCCCAAACTGTCAAAAATTCGTGAAAAACCGACTTTCAATAGCTTGATTTAGAGTTCTGTATCTTATGAGCGAGCCAATTAGATTTGCTTATAAGAATTTGGTGTGTAATTTTTTGTTCTAAAGCGTGGGCCATTAAGTTGAGCGGATTTTAAAAAAATATAGACAAAACTACAAAGTGTATGGAAGATAATTCATATTTTTAATAAAGTAGGCACATCGGAATTATATTTTTTAAAAATATCATTGAGATGTAAGCCATCGAGACGTACGCACTCCTCGAATCTCGACTTCAAACTCGTGAAAACTCGCCGGCACATCGCTCGTCGGTTAGCGGACATCTCTTCTGAAGTGCTGTGCTTGAGTTGAGCAACGTCGTCGGTTTACTGGAGTAAACGCAGCTCTTGAGGTATCCCCAGAGAAAAAATCCAGAGGCCTGAGATCTGGGCTCCGGGCAGGACACGGAATGCCCCCTCGTCGCCTTTATCAGTTTTAGACTAAACATTTCGTTTACAACTGCTAGAGACTCGTTGGCGCTATGAGATGTCACGCTATCTTGTTGACACTCTGCTATGGTAGGCTTCGAAATTATGTGTAGCGATTATAATTTACTGTTAGATTCTGGCTTTGCTCGTTTTCAAAGAAATAGGGTCCGATGATTCCTGCGGTCAAATACCCGTTATTTTTCTTGTTAACAAATCCACTCAAATGAAAATGAGCTTCATCAGAAAAGATAATATCTTTCAAGCTTGGAAAGCGCTCTAACATTGTAAACGCACGGCGTACTCGTAGATTTTAGTCCTGCTGTTTCAATTCCTGCACTAGTTGAAGTTTTTATGCGTGGACTTCCAGGTCTTTAACCAAAATACGCCTTACATGTGTTCTTGATATGACGAGCTCAGCTGATCTTTTTGAGATGATACCTACAGATCGCGCCGTACGGACGTCGCAACGTCGCTTACAGTTTCCTCTGTTCGTATTGACCTTAGATAGGGTTCTGAACCGCTAGACTCGAACTTTCTGACCCACGACCTGATCACACTTTCACTACGACATTGATTCAGATCATGTGAGTCAAACTCAGAGCGAAACAGACGCCATGCAATAGTGCAAGAATCTCCATTTTTGTAATAAGCTCTAACACAGAACGCTCACCGCTAAAACGCTCGATGGCGACTAAATTTTTTTTCTGGCCCACCCTGTATATGCAAAAAAGAGATGATTGGAATGTCTGCGTACATATAATGAGCTTCTTAAAAGATATCGTAATTTGTCACTAAGTCCAAAAATGATCAGACGCTTGATAATGGTTTAGTCAGTTTGTAAAAATTACCTCAGTCATGTCATATTGTAAAAGAAGAGGTATAGTCAATGATGTTATATCATTGGAACATGCTGTCTTCAATATATTTCTCAGACCTAGGATGATAGGATGACGACTGTTTATGTTAGTGCCTCTTAGACTATCATCAGATACCATATGAAAAATTACATGCACTTGTGCTAGGTTGGAATGTCTGGTAACATAAAAATCGCCGGCCTGTAAGAGTTCACTGTGTGAATTGCGATTGTTACTCTGACTATCTCTCTTAAGATATCCTAGAGACATATTGGATATTTTATTGAACTGATCTTCCAAATGTGAGAAGTGGAACTCTGTTGTCCTATCACATATATCTTGAAATTCTGAAAATTAAATATTATTGCTATATGAGAAATTGAAAACAGGAGGATCGTTTATTGAAATTATTTGAAAACAGCTTAATAACCAAAAAGGGTGTGCGAAAAATTCAATACCTTTTGTCATTCTTGATCCAATTTTGTTATCAGCCATAAGAACTAAACCAGAAAGATCATTGGAATATAGTGCCAAAGCTGTTTGCAGAATTTGTGGTGTTGGTTCAGACCTTGAAACAACTTGTATTAGCAGGTGAAGACAGGCGCCTCATTCGGCGCTATGCACGGTAAGGACTATCTACTGAAATTTCCTTCTTCACAAAAAACAAAAAAGGATATTGGTAACGCACTTATGTCGTCGCCAACTAGCTCCAGCGCTCCAATCAACAGCCTAGCCCCCCCCAAAAAAAAGATGATGAGTCACCGGGTGATACCAATCCTCCCTCCCTTGATACGCCAGTGAGGCCACTGATACAACAGGGTAATCATGTGACAAAAAATGAAATATTTGACAAATTTAAATGACTGTGCTAGGCAAGCAATTAAATATTTTCAATCATGGAGGCTGTTAGTTAAATGGCGTGATTCAGAGGAGTAGGCTGTTAACTAAACGGCCAATTAAGCTAGTTGGCTGCAATATATGAAACAAAACATATTCGTTTTCCTAGAATTTCTTTTCTTCTGGCTTGAGAACTTGAAAAGTAAACGTTATTTTAAGTCATCCATGAAAGTTTAAAATGATAAATTACTAACGATTGTCTACTATCATCAACACTACACAAGTCCATAACATTAGCAGACAAGATCCTGATATTATGCATCTGCTTCAGTTGAGATCCTAGATGAATAGTAAAACTTTCCTCCAGAACAGGAACATTTGCAACTCCATTATTGAAATTTACACTCGGTATTATAGATTCTATTGGCATTGGAGTTAGGGGAGAACTGAAATAAAATGTTTTTATAATCTGAAATTTCAAAAGTGATGTTTGAACCACACCATATCCGCATTTACATAAAAAATGACCTCAGGAGACTTCAAACATCAGTTCATAGAGGCACAATTTTCGCCCTTTACAAACAAGTAACAGGTGGGCTGAAAAGTCCGTATCGTTTCTATGAGATGGCGCCACCAGAATAAAATCCATACGCTTCTTAGCTAGTACCAACCTTCAAAAGATGCCTGTCAAAATTTGACAGCTGTCGGATCATTAGTTTTTGAGTTATCGTATCGAGAGTGACGCTACTTTTGTTATTTTTGAAAACCATGGAAAGTCAAGAGTTTCGTGTGTTAATGAAACATTATTTTTTGATGAAAAAAAGTGCCGTCGAATGCAAGAAATGGCTTGATGAGTGTTATCCGGACTCTGCCCCGGGCGAAGCAACCATTCGCAAGTGGTTTGCTAAATTTCGTACCGGTCACATGTCAACTGAAGACGACGCACGCAGTGGACGCCCAAAAGAGGTCGTTACGGACGAAAACGTGAAAAAAATCCACAAAATAATTTTGGGAGACCGCAAAATACGGTTGATTGACATAGCTGAGGCCTTAAACATATCAAAAGAACGTGTCAGTCACATCATTCATGAATATTTGGATATGCGAAAGCTCTGTGCGAAATGGGTGCCGCGCAATCTCACATTTGACCAAAAGCAACAACGCATCGACGACTCTGAGGCCTGTTTGGAGGTGATTTTGCGCAATAAAACCGATTTTTTTCGCCGATACGTCACCATGGATGAAACATGGCTCCACCACTACACACCGGAGTCAAATCGCCAGTCGGCCGAGTGGACGGCTGCATCCGAACCACCTCCGAAACGTGGAAAGACGCAACAGTCAGCAGGCAAGGTTATGGCCTCTGTTTTCTGGGACGTGCAAGGAATTATTTTCATCGACTATCTTCAAAAGGGCCAAACTATCAACAGCGACTATTATATAGTGTTACTGGAGCGTTTGAAGGCCGAAATCGCCAAGAAACGGCCACAAATGAAGAAAAAAAAAATCTTGTTTCACCAGGACAATGCGCCGTACCACAAGTCCATGAAAACGATGTCGAAATTGCATGAATTGGGCTTCGATTTGCTCCCCCATCCACCGTATTCTCCGGACCTTGCTCCAAGCGACTATTTCCTCTTCTCAGACCTTAAGAGAATGCTCACCGGAAAAAAATTTCACAGCAACGAAGAAATCATCGCCGAAACTGAAGCCTATTTTGAGGACAAGCCGAAGGATTACTACCGGAAGGGTATCGAAAAACTTGAAGAACGTTATAATCGCTGTATAGCCCTTGAAGGCAACTATGTTGAATAATAAAAGCGAATTTTGACGAAAAAAATATTTTTTCATTGAAACGATACGGAATTTTCAGCCCACCTGTTATAGCAAAGGTATTAAATGAATGAAGTCAGTCAAATAGGCCCAAATAATTGGTAAATTTTTTGCAATTAAAATAGTTTCTCAGCAACTGGCGTGGAAATCAGAGCAACACCAAAAAATGGTGCCAATTCTCTATTGAGCCATATTTTACAGATTATTACTTTCATTCTGGCCCTGTGGTTTTCGATTGCATTAAAGCTGCAACCTCCAAAGTTGTCCATTATACCACAAATACAAGGAGTGCAAAAAACATATCGGGTATTTGTTTTCGGGCTGCATTTAAAACCGAGCGACGGAGGGGGTGAAGAGGGGATAGTGGCGTCGGCCATGTTTTACGATAGAGCTGTACTCGGAGTGATTCAATAGTGGCTGCTCAAAGTTTGTATCGTGCGGGATATCGTACACGCCATGCACCAAGTGACGATAGCATTAGAAAATGGATCCGGATGTTCGAGAATACAGGTGCGATGCGACGATAAAAATTCAACACTGGTCGCTCTCGTTCAGTCCGCGACGAGGAATCGATCGGAGAAGTACAGGCGTCAGTTCGACAAAATCCATCTTTATCCATCCGAGCGCGAAGCCAATCATTGAACATCCAAAAGTCTTCCTTGCATTTGATTTTAAAGAAAGATTTGTATCCAAAAGCCTATAAAATTCAGTTGGTTCAAGAACTTAAGGATACGGACTATGCTAATCAATTGAAGTTTGCAAACAAGATGCTGCAATGATTCAACAATTTTGAAAATACACTGTTCAGCGGCGAAGCAAAATTTCGCCTCAATGGTCATATTAATAAGCAGAATTGTCGGTACTAGGCAGAGGAGAATCCGAGACGAAAGAATAAACGACCCCTGCACAGCCCAGAGGTCGTTGTTTGGGCCGCTATGTCTGCTAGAGGCATAATCGATCCTTATTTTCATGACGGACCACTCAATTTGAATAGTTATTGCGATATACTGCGAAACTTTTTGGGTCCAGAGCTGCAGGAGTTTCATTGTTTCAACTCAAGAACGTGGTTCCAACAAGATGGCCACTTGCCATACAAATCAAGTAATGGAAGCTGTTAAGGGATTGTTCCCTAATGTCATTTCATGTAGGGGTAACATCAACTGGCCTCCCAGAAGCCCCAACCTTAGCGCACTAGACTATGTTGCATGGGGATACCTTAAAGGTAAGGTCTATGAAAATAATCCGACCAACCTGACACAATTGAAGCAGAACATCAGGTCAGAAATGGCACCAATATCGAGAGCTATGTGTGAGCGTATTATCGCCAATCTGCGTTCCCGATTAGAAGAATGCCAGCAGGGTAACAGTCACCATTTGAATAACATCATCTTTTCCAAATAATTTTCCACTTTATATTCTAATAATCAACAATAAAAACTTTTTTGTTGATTTCGAGTAAGTTTTTGTTTTATCGAAATAACAAATACCAGATACTCTTTTTGGACTATACAAGTGTTCACGATTGATGTGATTCAAAATCTCACTTTGAAAATAACTAAGAATATTCTAACTTTGGTGTAGGCAGAGAGCTAGTAGTCTGATTCTGCTCCAACATCTGCATGAGCCATTCCCTGTACTCTCGGCGCTGAGCTTCTTTGATTGTGTCCAATTCACTATTCAATTTTCCTTGAAGTAATGCATGGTCTTCATAGTGTCGGGCAACAAGACCATTTATTTGGGACTCTGTCATATCTTTTTCTAAACGATCCACTGCACTATTCATTTCTTTGCTTTGTCTAAAAGTGTATGACTTTTAGGGTTATATAAAATATGCTTAGGTCAAATCAGAATATGCGGTGAAAATACATTGCTTAATGTTTTACTTATGGTACGTCTATTCCTAGATGATTATACAAGGTGGGCCATGAAGTTGAGCGGATTTCAAAAAATCATAGAAAGAAGCGTAGGGAAGATAATTTATATTTTTAATTTTTTAAAAATAGCATCGTTGAGATACGAGCCATCGAGACGTATGCACTCCTCGAATCTCGACTTCAAATTCGCTGGCATATCACTCGTGGAAAAAATCCGGCGAGACCACGGAATGTCCCCTCGTCGCGATATCAGTGTTCCACTAAAGATTTCGTTTATAACTGCTAAAGACTCAGTGGCGGTATGGGATGTCGCGCCATGCAGTTGCAGTTGATTTTGTAAATTACATCTCAAGGGCTCTGGATGAAAAACTAGTGGTTCTAGCATTGTTTATAGACTTGAGAAAGGCATTTGATGTGGTAGATATCAATATATTATAGAATAAGTTACAAAGTATGGGATTTAGGAGAACTGTGTATAGTTTGATTAAAACTTATTTACTTAACAGGAAACAATATGTAAAAATTGGTGAAACAAATAGTGAGTGGTTAACTAGTAACTATGGTGTCCCCCAGGGGTCTGTCTCGGGTCCACTATTATATTCTCTATATGTTCTAAATCTAAAGAGTGTCAATCTTAATGCAAGGTATTTTACTTTTGCTGATGACACAGTTCTTCTCTATAAAAGAAATCATGAGCAGGCTCTGCATGACGAAGTTAATTTAGATCTTGCTCTTTACTGTAAATGGCTGTATTCAAATAAACTAAACATTGATAAAACAAAATATCTAATTTTTAAACAGAAAAATAAAATAATCGAAAACTTTTGTATAAGAATAAATAATGGTATAATTGAAAAAGTATCGAGCATCAAATACCTGGGTTTAATTATCGATGAGAACTTGAATTGGTCTAGTCACATTAAACATTTTTTGGATAAAACAACATTGATGATAGCTGCTTTGTACCGAAGCAGAGACTACTTAACTACAAAAAGTGAAATAAATATTTATAATGCATTTTTCTTAGCACACTTCAGATATATGTTACCTATTTGGGGAATGTGTTGTAAAACTGAATTTTATAAAGCACAAGTTTTGCAAAATAGAATATTAAGAATTTTGTTCAACTATGATCGACTTGCCAACACGGACAATATGTACTCACAATTGAATATTTGTAAACTAGGTAAGCTGTTGGAATCAGAACAATGTAAAATGATCTTCCAAATTTTAAACAACCAACAAAAGTGTAATGCAAACATTCTGATCACACATGAGGTGCATGGCCATGAGACAAGATCACATAATAATTTGTACCAAATTCCTACTAGAACCAATATAGGATTAAATAACCCTGTCACTGATGCAGTAAAAACTTATAACAACCTACTAAATAATGTAAAAAAAAAAGTACATGTATTCAGAAATTATGTAAAGACACTCAAAAGACACTTGAATTGTTGAATTTATTGTAGCTAAAATTCGCACTTTAAGTATTGTTGTTCTCGAGGCCAGTGTTTTAAACACAGATTAGAGAACTTTGTTTCCTATAAAATTTGTAAAAATTGAATATTGAATAAAGATTTGTTTCAAAAAAAAATCTTGTTGAAACCCAGACCTGCTAATGCGGTTTTGAAATTCGTTGGTCTTTCTGGTCCACCCTGTATTATACTTTGAACAAAAATTCAGTTGCAGTTCCTAGTTTCGTTGCCTTGTGAAAAACCTTTTGGTTTGTTGAATATTTTTGATTTTTTATTTCTCATGACATATTTTCATTCTAATTTTAATATCTGCACTTCATATGTTAATAAAGTTGGTGAAGTGATACAATAATACAAAATATATACTCTAAAGACTTTTACACGTTTATACAATTATGTTTGTGAAAACTATATTATTAAATAGCAATATACAACCTTTCAGACATTTCTTGTATTAGTTGATTCTTTTCCTTAGCTTTTTGTCGAACTGTTTGTGAGTACATGTGCTCCAGTTGCAACATTGTTTCCAAAGCTGGTGAGTGTACCATTTTGTGATATGCTGTTGCAAATAGCTCATTATCAGAAGCACATCTTTGTTCACCATATTCAGTAACTTCCTGAAATCAATTCAAAATTTATCTTACAATTTTTGTATTGTCTTTCTTGGATAGGGCCTCTTTCATTTTAACAGAAGGTTCATCACAAACTTATGGAATTTGACCATCAGTCAATTTTATGAAAAATTCATATAGTGATGATGCTGATCTAATATTCCAGTGGACAGAAATGCTTTCTATTTAAGATTCTGGGTACTGTCAATGATTGGTCCTTGTGGGTACACTTGCCTGCACCATTTTACTTTATTTAATAGGAATTTCTACCTTACCGCAAATGTAGTTCCAGAATATCTCACTTCATTGTTGACTGATTTTGATGCAGTTTTCAGCCCAATAATCAGATGCAAATAGTTAAATTCGGAAAAAACCTGTTTTTTGATAGTAATAAATTATATCTCATAAACCGTAACTTTTTTATGGAATTTAGTAGTTTCCGAAAAAGAAAACTATTTCTTATAACCACTTCTCAAATTTTGAGCTTCTAGGCTTGAAAACAACTGAGAAAATTAGGAAATGCATTTTCTTATCCTGTCAGCTCTATGCATGGGCTATGGCCTTATTTAAAAGAGTTTTAGCCAGTAACGTAAATGTCCTGACTGACTTATTGGAGATGATGGCATTATTGAAATAAAGTGTCCCAAAAGGGCATCAGCATTACACCCAGCAGATGCCATAAAGCAAAATATCAAATTTGCAATCACAAAAAAACATATTAAAAATAATAAAAAAATCATTATTATTATTACCAAATACAAGGCACATATCATAGATTAATTACTGTATTTAAAATACTGTCTATCATGGTACTAGAATTATATTTTTATATTCCAAGAAATGATCATGTTCGGAAAGCATAGATTCAACAACTAATTTTTTTATTATTACATGCTTCCTGAGATAATATATCCTGAACATCCCCAGTCACTATCTATCAGGAGTCAAACAATAAGCTTAGTAACATTCAGCTTGAAGAGAATGAAAATAGACAATATTGCATATATTTGAGGAAAACTTCTAGATCCGCTATTTATTCTGAGCTCAAATTTACTATTTGTATTGTAAACAAACAATTATTAGTTCTTTAAATTGTCTAAGTGCATCAAGGATAAGTTAGTTTTCATAAAATGACACAAGCAGTTCTACCCACAAGGGCTAAGGCACTAATTGTTGATATCCTGTATCTCTATTAGAAAGCATTTCTGGGATTTGTGCCCATTGGAACATTTTATCATCACAACATAAACCATCACAATACAAATTTTGTGTTTATCTAAAGGCACATGGAAGATCAGAAAAACAGCATTATGCTTGAATCAAATTCATAGCTACTTGTGGCACCTATCTTGCCTTCCAATGGCTTTGGCTAACAACAGCATAGTAGCGTATAGAAAATTTCTGAAACATGTTTTATATAGTTATATGGAAACATACTTCTTTCAGGACCTTCTCCCACTTTTTTGTGATCTCTTCTATATTTATTTTGTTATCTTTTGCCCCATTAATAAGATTCATCACTCTTTGATCATTATACTCCACAGTTCTCTCTTTGACAAAGCGAGCCAAATCTTCTAATAGTTCTGAAATTACATATGTGTAGATACAGTTAAAACCTAAATGGATACTGGATACCTTCTTCAACATATCGAGGAATCCCATGTTTCGACATAAGGATATGTGTTAATTCATCAATAGAGTCTTCAAAAGGTATTTCTATAAGATGTTCAAAATTATACGACATATTTTTATACAAAAATGATTCCTTGGGACGAGCCATCACTTCTATTCTTTACGTTTTCTTATATTTTATTGATGATATCAATACGAATTAAAATTTGTCAGATCTTAGCGATTCTTTGGAATGAAATGAAAAATTCCTTATAAATATAAACAATTGGAGTGACAGTGACATATCCGATCATCACGCACACATCACAGTTGTGTCATGGGTATGGGTCATGAAATTTCTGACATTGACATCATAAATAGTGTTGCCACAACGCCGAGGCCAAATTACTAGCTTGTACGACAAAACATAAATATACACTAAAAATTAATGTAGTAACAGATCTATGTACACAATTCAATGTTTCCCTAATTTTTGATAAATGCAGGTGCTAACAAAGGCTTGGGAACGAAAATATTCGGACCATTATGATGTTAATACTAATTTATTTGAAGAAAAATGTATGAGACTTATATAATAAATATTCAGGTATTTGCAATATATGCTATTCTTCTGACATTTCCAGATTATTAAGTAGATATGAGTGATCTTATAACAGCTTATGTTACTCACATTGCTATTTCAACTTACAAAAAAGCCCTTATCCGTTAAGATAGCGCAACATTTTAATAACACGTGCTGTTATAAGAGCTCCCACCAATTTTGAAACCGCTCCCACACGATGTGGCGAATGCCTTACAACGTTGGACTAAAAAGTTCATCCCATCGTGTAGGAGACACACTTGCCAATTGTGGGGTGTCGAACGTTGTATACAACGTTGTGCTGTACGTGAGAAAAAAAATATTTTTTATCCATACATTCTACACTCTTCGTAATATACTGAACCTTAAACTAATATTGATGATTTACAAAGCACTTGTGGTGCCCCTTTTGGTATATTATATGGCATATTTGTGTGGGGTGGGATGTCCGGTTCAAATCTTGGGCAGTTAAAAGTGTTGCAGAACCATATTGTAAGGAAAAACTTAGATTATATCCCACTATGCAAGAAATTAACAATTTTAAAATTTTACAAATATATCCTTGCAGTATGTAGTTTTGTACATGCAAATAAGAAATTAAATACAAATTATGTGTCCCATAATTATATCTTTCACCTAAATTTTACAATTTGATTCCTTCTAATATCAGGAATATTGAAAATAATAAAAAGTTTAATGTTTCGTTTGAAATGATCTGTTGGGGAAATCGTGAACAATTTATGCGTTTATTTTAAGTTGCTTTGAGGTAGAATGATCTGTCTATTTGTTTCGTTTCTTTTTTTATGATAAAATGGTGGTACGTTTTGTGTGATGTTCTAATGTTTACGTAAATGCCCAACACAGATTCGATGGTGGAAAATCGCATGACTAAATTCCAACCAATGACGACGCAGAACGAACAGCGGTACCGGCGTACTACACGCTGCGGGCTGACGCGTTTCAATTCAGTTGTCGGTTGGCGTTTGGGTAGCGTGGTCCGTCGAGCCCTCCGTACAACGCTCTGCGTCTGTTCCACTCGTGTGCCGGGAAGTCTTTGTCGGCGATTTTCCGAAGTGTCGTCGTGTCGCGATGGTGGTGTGAGTGATTTTGTGGTAATTGTGTGTGAAAATGTGTTGTGGTTGTTCATATTTTCACGTTGGATATTGAGCATCCTTCCGGTCTTCCTGGGCTGAGTGTCTTCATAGCAGACTAGGTCAGTTAACCATAGTCATCAACTTCTGTGTTAGCTTTGAGCTCGTAATGTCGGGATTGACTTATTTTGTTGTGGTCAAAAGTCATTAGCAATTTTTCTCTAAAGTTAAACGTTTTCATGTTAGAAACGATTAAAGTTCTGAGAAACCTTAAAAATATTGATCTTCAATGCTTTAAAACGCGGGTTAAAATTATCGTCCAGTTGCCATGCATCTAAGTTAAATTTCGCACGTTTTCCTTCAAGACTCCTAGGAGTATTTCAAGATTAGCATATCTTAAAGTATGATTACTTAATTGTTAGCAACGCGAGGCGCTAATGCGTATTCCAATGCGCGTTATTATTATTAACAATGAAATAGCAGCATTTCAAAAATACGCCAAGTAGGAGAAGGTTTGAAGTGTAATTGAGTAACATAAAGAACATTTTTAAGGTTTTTCAGATATTCCATCGCTTATAACTCGAAAACGACCCTTTTAAAGTGAAACTATTTGTATTCACAATGATCCAAACAATCTAAAAACACTTTGTACGGGTAACAAAAAGATGTTTTTTTTGTAGTTTGTAATTGTTTACACTTTGCAGCGAGTTACCTCCCGGCCACCTCATGATTCATTCGACAGTCGAGATGGAAAATTTATCCCACGAATTTTTTGGCCTCATCTATAGTAAATGTAAATACATAATAAGTAGCACACTATCATGTACAAAAACTTGCAAGGAAGTGAGATTAATGCACGTAAATACCGATTGTATTACGTTCATATTCTATCTCTCTATATAAAGTTGTTTACATTTTTTTGTAAGAAATAAATACCTCCATATAATCGATATTTTGAAGATTTGCCATCCATTGCACTATATCCATGTTGTATCTGCGCTTGCATCCACTACGTAGCGGCAAAAGTGCGAACTAAAGCAAGGGAGTTCTTTGCAAAGTCCTATAGGACTTTATTTATTATTGTCAGCAAGCCCAAAATCCCAGATCTTTATTTTCAAATATTATGACAATATTATCATCATTCTTTAATTCTTTGCCCTTAAATCGTTTTCGTTTTGAAAGTACAGGGTGAATAAGAATTTTGATAACGTAACGTGTCGTAAGTGTGGGCCGATAAATACTTCAGTCGTATTATACAGGGTGTCCCAGGCATAACACGCCAGAGTGACATGGGAGCTAGATTGGCTTCAGGTCAATCAGATAAAATCAACATGATGTATGGAAGAGTACGGCATCAAGAAGATTGGTTTTGAACTTCACAAACCACTGAAGCATATATAAAACTGGATCCTGGAAACGTTTCCAAGAGATATATTTTCGAAACTTACCCTAAGAAGGCCAAACGCTTTCCACTCAAAACTGTACTTAAATTTATGCTATTTTCCATGAAATACAGATTTAACCTTCTTGATGTTTCAAAATAAGCAGAGGTATTATTTAAATGTACTTATGTGAACTCTCTTTGCAGATAAACGTGTGGATAATAGTAGTATGATCTACTGTCAATATGTTGATGAAGTTTTACGAAATATTTGCAGCCAGATTCCAAGCAAAAGCTTCTAAAAACGTTCACGATTTCCATACGTTTGAAGAAATTCAGGGATATATTTGGGAAACTAACATAATCATGCCAAAAGTTATATTTCTTCACGCCCTTGAAGATGATTGCAGGCTGATACATGCAGAACGAACATCAATTGAATTGATAATTGAAATGAAGAAGAGGTATTTTTTACATAATCTTGAACTTATTTATTCTTCATGTTTCACTGACGTCTTACCCGATAAGTCGAGCTTATCAGGAAATACAGGGTATTCGAAAAATAGAGAGAGATATTTCAGGGGGTGATTCCTTGTTAAAAAATATGAAAAAATTTAATTACTTTTTTATTAATACCTCAAAAAGCATTTACTCGCTTCTATTGGAATTTGACAGTGTTATTTGTTGTATTAAGAGGCTCATTTAAATAGATAAAAATTATAATATACGTCCAATGGCGTTCCGGGGGCACCTTAGCGAATATTATTTGCAAACAAATGTACGCCACTGCCTTTTTTGTAGCTGTAATATTTGTTGCTTGATTAAGCATCTAAAAATACAACTTTCTTGCCTCTTGTATTTTTTTCGTATCTCACTTCGTTTTCGAAAAAAAATATAAACCGTTTCATTGCATGTTACTGGCCAGAATTGGTTTATTAATTTTTATAAATAATTTTAACAAGAAAACACCCTCTAAAATATTCGAACACCCCGTATAACTTTTGAAACCTATTGCAAAAAGCAGCGGCGCCACAGAAGGAAGCTTTCACCAAACTTTATTTTTCTAACACCTTTATCAGAAAGAAGTCAGTGAATTACGAGGGGCGTTTTTAAAGTAAGAACCAATTACGCACCGTGGGTATCAAAGGTATTGTAATTTTTGGTGACAACAGGTGTCATGGTTTGCTGCGGGCAAGCTCGAAAAAACTGCTGACAGGTGCTGTCTTACTAATTTTTCCATCTTTTGGGATAAACAATTAGAAATTCTAAAAAGACTACCTGACCCATATAATCGAATTTTGCAATGTTGTTATTTAGAAGTATGAATCCTACGGATTTGAAGAATTTCACGAAGTAGTATCGTAGCATTACCAAGTGCCAACACCTGCATTTTGCCTCGTTTTCCGGCCATAACATGTTTCCTATTAGTCGGATCTTTTTACGTGTGGTTTCATTTTATAGATCTCATAAATACGTAAAAATTCTATATGAAAAGTGTTTTCATTCCTGTCAACACTTTCGATTGAATTTCAAAAATTACGTTTTCTCATTCTTTGTCAAATAAAAAGTTTTCTGCCAAAAATTGGTGTACCCATTTTATGCGTCTATGTTTTAAATACCCCCTTGAACAACTTGCACCAATAAAACCAGACCTTACAATTATTTCGGACTAGACTAAATAAAGATTTTTTTTTTCAACACACATGAGGTTTTGATCGGACAGAGAACTAGGGGGGATTATCATGAGTGCATCTAATTTTTCTGAATAAAATCGAAAAAACACGTTGCTAAGTAATATTCTACAAGAAGCACGAGTGCTAGTTGCAACAAAAATCCGAGATGAAGACGAGAATTTTTTCAACTGCACGAATGTTTTTTGTTAAAAAAATATTACTTTGCATTGTTTTTTCGATTTTTTTCACAGGAGAAGATTAGATGCCCAAATGGTATTTGACAAAAGACTATTTCATGAGTAACAGATTATTCTGCATACACATAACTTACAAACAGACTACCATTGTTTAACGTCATTTTCTGGTGTCCTAGGGAAAAAAATAAAAATGCTCATATTTTAGTTTGTTATACAATTTGCATAAATAAAATTTCTCTGATTACAAAACGGTTCTTACTTAAAAAATAGCCCTCGTATAAACCGTTACTTCAATGCCACTTTTTTAGGTTAATAACTATGGCATGCTGGCGATTTTCGATGGTGCAAATGAACCCAAAATTACGGATCGACTTCAGGGGGTGATTCCTTGTTAAAAAATATGAAAAAATTTAAAACCACGTTCCCCTAATGGATAGTAGATAAAATGACAATTGTACTTATGCTATTAATGATCATGTAATTTTAGATCAAATAGTCGTTAAATATATATATATATATATATATATATATATATATATATATATATATATATATATATATATTTATATATATACAATAAAATATAAAATTGTTTTTTTTCCACTTGATGAGAGAAGTCCCGTATGCATAGGCAAAAAAGTATTTTATCCTATGCAAAACCATACATAAAACTTGGAATTTATAGCACAGGTTCACAAAAAATTCATTCAGCGATAGAATTGAACTTGCAGAAGATTTCGATACTTGTCATTACTCAACGAATAAAAACACTTTGAACTTGTAAAACTGGTATTTGCAAGTAATTTGGTCACCACGCTGTGGCACACTGTTGATGAACTAAGGCTATGTGAGTCAGTATCAGTGTATAATGTATATGTTTTGTGTCAGTATCCATATCAGGCGTCGCGTGGCGTCTAGGTTAACCTAGTTTATAAACAAACCGCATTTGAAAAACTGAAACTGGCATATTCATTGAGCAATAACGTAATTATTATCGATTTTATATGAGCATCATCTTCCGCGAGCGTACTCAGCACGTCGCCGTCGTCATCGATGTTTCTTTCCATGACAGCTGCATATACAGGGTGTTCATTTGAAAATTTCCCACCACGGATTTATCGAAAAAAGATTGGTCAAGGGGGACAACTTTTTAAGCAAAAACTAACTACTTCACCTTCGCCCGCCCCCCAGGGTCATTCTCTTGAAAATTTTAAATCACAAGGGGTATCGAGTAATAGCTTGTTTGAAAGGTCTTTCGAAGTTGTTTATTTTGACGTTTGATTTTTTGAAACCAATCGATTCGTTTTTGAGAAAATTAGAAAAATCTTTATTTTTCTTAATTTGTTCAGATAGGAAACAAAAACACACAAAAATATAACCTTTTATTTCAGTAAGAGTTCAAAATGCTTAAAATTTAAAACGGTAACTGCCAACAATCTGATTTTTTTTCGCATTCTTTTCATCACCACATATCCTGGGCGAACTGTATTTATTGTTATACCTGTTTAGTTATTTGTTGCTAAGGAAAAGAAATAATTCAATTTGCTGTCAGTTACCTTTGTGACAATCTTGGGAGAGTGAAAATTAATTTATTGATTCAGATTTAGACTTTGAATAAAGCATTAAGATTCTAGTTTTCAGGTGTTTTAGCCGGAAACAACCTGTAATCTGGTTGAACTTTGTAAAATCATTTTTCATCTTCTGGTGTCGCTATTGGATATCTGTAACACCTTCAATTTTGAAAATAGCAATTAGAAAAATGTTGTGTATCCATGGATTATTCCAAAAAACAAAAATACTAACCAACGGCGGATCTAGAAGATATTCAGCCGAAATGAATATTATCTGATAATGAATTTGCATCATTTTCAAACTTCAAGCAATCAGTCCGGAGAAACCGTATAATGGATCGATCTGCCGTCGTTATTAGTTGTACACTGAGGTACAAAAAACTGTTACTGTTACTGTTCTCATGTCACTCATTAAATATTTCTGCTGTTCTATTAGCGCACTGATTATTTCCGAAAAATATTTCGTGTTAACGTGATTTTTTGCCAAACTTGTGTCCCCCTCGAAAACAAAATCGACGGGTCTGAGGGTTTTTCCAAAAAAAAAACTGAGCTGCCAGTAAATGCGTCTGTTTCGTTTTCGATGCGCCACCCTGTATGTACTACATACATTTTTGTTACATTGTCGAGAATTGCTGCAAATCTTTCTACAAGTCTTTTAGAGCATAAAAACATGAAAATCCTTAGAGCGCTAAGATTGGAGCTTATTTTGTTATGTGTACAAGAAGCAACGAAAAAATGCAATCCATTTTTTGTCACTCATTGTACACACTGTACTGTCCAAGTTTCACTTCACAAAGATTTCAGTGGTCAGCGTAACTATAATACTGTCTTGATTCAAATCTGTTGCTTTTTAGTTACTTACAAGGAAAATAGTTTACCACAGGAAATGGATATTCAAAAAAGAATAATGAGGTTGCAAAGCGAGTAACATGTTTCGATCCACAAAGAAAAAATAGTATAATCAGTCAGTGATATATTCGGCACAAGTTAATCCCTCCGAGAATAAAAGTTAGCTACGAAGATGTATAATAAAAAAATTGAGTGGAACAAGTCAGTCAATAGGTCCAATCAATTGGTCCATAGTCCCCACTCGTTTGACAACGTTGCGATCTAGTGTGTTGAACATATTTCTCTATAATTCTAAGTTTTAAGGTCAAATGTAAGAAGTGTGTGGAATGTCTTATATACAAATATGAGTCAAAACTATAATTCCACGACCTGGCATGGCAGGCCATATCTCAGACTAGGCTAAAGAGCTATGAGGCTTTGCGAAATTTCAGGGTCCTAGGTCGTACGGTTCAGTCGGGAAAAGTGCTCAAACTTTGAAGTTTCAGCAAAAATGTGAAATTTAAAGTTTGGGCAACTTTTCCATTTTCTCCCTAGTCATGTAATTCGAAAGCATTAGTCCCTGCCATATATGACTATTCCGAAGTAACATTGTCCAAAATTGACTTCAAATTGTGATTTGGCAATTCGTTCGGGACACATTTGAGTCAAAAATATTTTCTAAATTTTTCATTATTATCTTGGACTAATAATTCGAATGCCTTCCAAGCAAAAAATCCACAATATTAATTTTTATTTAAATAAAAGGAATCGCCCGATCGCTCTATTCTATATGAGTTGAACTTTGTTTTAGTGCTTCTAAATTGGTCGCGTCCAGCTCCAGCCGTCCAGACACAAATAAAAGAGGTTAAAAAAAAGACAGCAATTAACTGTCATTTGTCAAAGCCGCTATTTTTTTCGGGATGCCGACAGTGTTGTCAGGTTGTGTACGGCAACACCGCACCCCATTGATTCCCCATGCGTCACACTCCAGGTATATACAACTCTCAATTCAAAAGCACTGGAAAGAGGCTCTGGCAACCCAGGAGCACTCTCAAAAAATGGCCGCTAACAATGACATAAGTCAGCCAGGTTACCCTTGAATAACATAGAATGCAATCTTCTTCAGTTTATAATTATGTTTTGTCCAGTATATATTTTGTTTTGTGCTGTTGCTGTTGAACTGTTTTGTTTTATTCCAGCATTTCAGAAAAAATTGGCAAAGATATATTTTAGAAAAAATTCGTAGTGATCAACGCAAAATATAACTGATTTTCAAATTTTCCCATACTTCCTCAGGATAACTGCATTTTGGCGTTCTGAATTTAACCCATTTTCAGTAAGAACGTACACATGTGTTTCTACAGTATGTAATTCAAAACTCTTTAATGGTCAATAGTAAAAAGTAAGTTATAAACTACTATACAGACAATCTACTAGGAGACATATGAAGAAAATGGCTATACAACTTAAAGAAATTTGTGATAATGTAACACTTGCTAGAGAGAATTCTATGCTTGGTAACTATGACAATGCAGAAGTGTACTATGAGTTTGCTCTGAAGATGGTTTCAAGGCTCATCATCACTATATCAGAACCTACAAGAAAAAATAATTGGCTTCAAGTAAGTTTTGTTAAGTACTAAATTCGTCTTACTCTATTGGTGTGAATTTTTTCACAGTAAAACTAATATGGGAGCTCACATCAGTTCTGATATCACTATCATGTTTATTTTTGGAAAGTTTAGCATTTAATTCTTATTTCTGTGACAGAAATATCAGGATACCTTAGTTCATATCATTACTTATATTATTAATTTTGTAGGTACAAAAAAAAGTTAATGGGGAGTATGATAAAGTGAAAGAACTAAAGAACATGTTACAAATAATGCGAATCGATACAGGAGATGTGCCTATAGGAGTAAGGAGACGAAAAGATTTTGACCTTAATGATGATGTATTGGAGGCTAATGATCCAGATATTTGGCCTTCCCCCACACCTGCAGATCATAGGTCAGGTTTTGTTTTATATTGTCTATTTTTGTTATCTGTAATTTGAAACACAAAACTTGATAAAATTAGGTATCAATAAGTTAACCCAGATATTACTGAAATTTTTTTTTCCCAATATTTGTGGATTTCTTAGTGAGAGTACAGTAAATTGACTTCATTTCAACAACCAAAACCAGTTTATGAACTTTTTTATCCCTAACTAACGAGGTGTTCTTTAAAAAGGACGGTAGTAAAATGACCTGCTGATAGCACAAATTTTATTTCAAGGACACATATTGCAAGACATAAAACAAATAACTATTCGGTGTGATACTGTTCGAAACACGTTTTGGGATGTAGTGGAACACTACATTTTCTGCAGCGACACTGAACTTTTTTATGGCATTCGCCACAACGTTGCAGGTTCTCCTGATAAACTACAATGTGATACTGTATAAATGTCGATATATGGCTCAAGCGATACGCATGGGACTAAACTGTAGTAATTACTGAAACTCCTTACAGAGTCCTTGAATCACAATGCCTTTATAAAGGACGGTAGTAGTATCTGGGTTAATCGATCACTGAGGTGCTAAATTTAAAAATGAGCTTTAAAAAATTCAGTAGTATGGTGAGGTCAAATCTAAGGTATAAAAGGCTCTTCCTGGGACCCCCTGTTACTCCTAGCCCCGAGTGGTTGTAAGGTTCAAATTCGATGGATGAGATTTACCAAAGAGACAAGTTATCACCCATATGACTTTTGGAAATAGTGTAATCATTTTCTTTTTATTGCTGTGCAAAATTTGCAATTTTGTCTTCTCAGGCTTCAAGAGAGCAACTAAATACCAGGTGTATCAAATTTGACCCTCACCATTGGGATCTGAGAAACTATAAGAGTTATAAAGTTGTTTAAATGGGGGCAAAGTTGTGAATCTAGGTAATTAAATAAAGTCACACTTTGCCTACAAAATAATTAAGAACATTATCAACAACAGCTATGATTTACTTCTACTTATTCATGATAATTATTGTTATCAGTTATTACAGTCAATTATATTTTCACTTTGTGTTCAGGTTTCACCATACCTTTTTATTTCCTTATAATTTTTGTTCCAAGAACGAAATTCCAATGTAGTGTCCATATGAAAAACAAGGTTGGTGATGGAAGTTGAAAGAAGAAACCTCAGATTAAAAATTCTTTTGTAGAGGAACAAATGGGGAACTTGCAACGTGCAATTTATTTTGAAATCCCACCGTAAACAAATAAAGGAAAAAAAATTATTTTGTCGTAAATCTGATAGTTTCAAGGCCTGTGCAATTTATTTTGGAATCTCACTACAAATTAAAAGTACTCCTAATTTCGAAACTTCCCAAGCAGCATATTGTTACTTACCTGAATATGCAACTTTCCACCATTTAATTTTTCAAACATTCTATAGGTGCAAAATAATATCCTCATCATTTTTAATATTAGAATTGATAAACTTACAATCTATCTTTCATTTGTTATGGTGCACAAAGTGCCTTATAGATAAGAAATGCTTAAAATGTATAAAATTTAACAAACACGCCATGCTTGAAGGTTTTTTATTAATTTATTATTGATGCAAAAAAAGATACTTGATGTAATATGATAAAATGAGCTAAAACAACTTCCTTTCATATATTCTAACAGCAACGGTCCAAAATCCCGACCCTTGAATGCAAAACGCTTCGATGCAAAAAACAAGGGGAATATCTCAGCCAGAGCAAGTTCTTCAAGTACCTCCAGGCGCTCCGAAATAATGAAAAGTACCAGAACCGTTAAAAAAGATGACAGGCCATCATCTTCAAAACCGGATAAGACTGTGGATAAGCCAGAAAAGGATGCAGCAAACATAGAGAAATCTGAACCAGAAGAAGAAAAGAAGTTTGAATGCAACATCACAGAAAGAGAGCTGGCTGATAATCTGGAGAGGGATATTGTTCAGCAAAATCCAAACATCCATTGGGATGATATTGCTGACCTCCAAGAAGCTAAAGGACTGCTGAAAGAAGCTGTATTATTGCCGCTATGGATGCCAGATTTTTTCAAGGGTAAATATTTTGGATCAGCAAGTAATGCAAAATACACTACTCAAAAAAAAAAATAAGGGAGCAATAAAAAATCCAAATTATTATTTAAATTCTGAAGCTTTGAGATTCCAGTTTTTAGGTATTTTGTCGAAAACCCATAATAACCCCCACACGACGGCAGATCAATCCATTGTACGGTTTCTTCAGATTTGAACGAAATCAAAGGAGCAAAATGTGTGTGTCAAACCATCCTGTAATCTGGTTGAAAATGGAAAAATCGTTTTTCTTTGTCACTATTGAATATCTGTAACAACTTCAATTTTAAAATTTTAATCTTTTACTCATGGAATATTCCAAAAAACAAAAATACTAACCAGGGGCGGATCTAGAAAATATTCAGTGCTCCATCCGACCGAAATGAGTAAGATCCGACATCATTTCCAGACTTTGACCAATCGGTCCGGAGAAAGCGAACAATGGATCGATCTGCCGACGTGTAGGATTTTTAGGGGTAGATTGAGGAATAAAAAACCTAAAAACGTTAGCTTCCTCATTAGCTGTTCCAAAAATGCGTTCGATTTTCCAAAGCAAGGCAAAAAGTAACGTTTATTGACTCATTTAAAATCAGTACTAAGGAAACAAAAAAATCCTCAAATCTTGTAGAGGGTTTATTACAGTTTTCGGAAATACCCTTACATTCTCTGTGTGATTACTGGTTACCTAGATATCAGTGGTCAATGACAGAAGGATCCATTTTCATTCAAAGTCAGATATATCTGCGCCAAATGATCGTATCGGGATCTTAAAAGCAGTATATTGACTCTGAATAAACCGGTTATTTGATCCATATGATGACGCGACAGAAACAGAAAATGTTCAAGCCGGTGGACTAAAAAGAAGATTTGGCAAAAAAAATTCCTTGCGCCGTGCGATTTCCATGAGAACGATTTTTTCCGCTAAAAAAACATAACTAGAGTTCTAAAGCTTCAAAATGAATTTTTTGAAATCTAGATACGACCGTTTTTCACCGAAATATAGCCTGTCAAAAATCTCCGAAAAACTGCCCTTCATTTTATTTCATTTCTTTACTGGCGCTCAATACACTTTCCGCGCTTACACAGAACACAACACAAGTTAAATTATAAATGTGTAAAATCGCAAAACAACAAAATGTGTTGAGAACTACATTAACCTAAATAACAATAAGAGATAAACTATAAAAGGATATTATGATTGTAAATTAAATACAAAAAAAAATACGATACGATTCTTTAATTGTATACTTAAATAATAACAAATTCGTCTTTAGTAAGTACTGGGGGTGTCAATCACAGGCGAGGATCACAGAAGAAAACTTGCCTCGAAAATCCCGGGATTGGCTAATAATTTCGGTATTAGTCCCGAAATTTTTTATCGTGTGATATTTAGTATATAATTTCATAAATGTTTCTTCAAGGTGCAAAAAAAAAGAAAGAAAAAAGAAATATTATGCAATGACTATTCAAAGTATGTTCCACTACAACTGATTAATAATAAACCTTTGATATTTTTTCCTAAATTGGTTTAAAGACATCATTTTAGACTTAGCATCTATGTTGTAATAAAAACTAGCAGCATTGTTCGAAGGCGTCAAATCAAAAAAATTAGCCAAGCAATGAGCACTATTTTTAATAGATGCATTAGTTTTCTCAATGAAGCTGTCAATAGCTAGAGAAGTAGACTAGCCTGATTTGAAACTGCATTGACAGTCAGTAAATATTTTGTTACTTTCAAAATAGTCAATCAGCTGATCTATCAAAAGAATCTCAAGTATCGTAGCAAGTAGGCGTATAAGTGAAATATGTCTATAATTTGAAAAATAGTTGGAATCGCCTTTTTCAAGGAGATGGATAACTTTTGAAAGTATCAGGAAATATACCATACATAGACACACTAATTAAATAATTTTGTCAATAGTATAATAATGTTTGCACTCAAATAGAAAACATCAAAACTCTTAGATTTTATCAATTTATTTGTCGCTGCCCTGACTTGATTGTGAGTATCCTCTTTAAACACAAAACCTTCTAGATGAGTTACCTCATGCAAATAGCTCGTATGCGTTCAAGCTGAAGGTGGAATTCTGCCTACTAGATTTTTGCAATATAAGTAAAGATTGGTGACCATGTGAGTTTCTGGGTTACAGCTTAGCAACCTCATGAGTCATGTTAAGGGGCATCCTACAAACGTGATTATGAAAAAATCTACTGCACATACATATATGTAGGTTGTTTCAAAGTATTCATCTCTCCAGGTATAAGGAGGCCATGGAAAGGAGTACTTATGGTAGGACCTCCAGGTACCGGAAAAACGATGCTGGCAAAAGCTGTAGCAACCGAATGCAGAACTACATTTTTCAATGTCTCGTCATCTACACTGACCTCCAAATACCGTGGTGAATCGGAAAAAATGGTTCGCTTACTGTTTGAAATGGTATGTAGCCTCATTGTTTTTGATTATTATATAATAACCTATTTTACCACTTAGCTATATAGCTGAGATTGTCTCCCCTAGTTATTTGACCTTTACATGTCAAATACATAGCATATCAAGCAAGTATCAGTAAAATAAAGATTAGCACTGATCTTCTAGAACAAGACATATATTTTTTGTCCGGTCGTGTTTTATAAATATATTGTGTTTTCAAAGTTGAGTCATTTCATAACTGCTTTTAGGACTCGTCAAAACGAGTTGATATACCAAAAATCACCTATATAAAAGGTGCATAATACAAGAAATAGTAAAAGATTCAAAATTAAAAAAAATAATGTTATGAAACAGATTTTTTAATATTCTCGACCACTGCCGTGTAAAATCCTGGCGTTTTTTGTTTACTACTCTTATCTTTTATCTAAACTTTTTGTGTTACTGTATCGTTTTCAGTACGAGTCTTTGGTTTTGGTTCAACCTGAAATGTTACAAATTGAGGAAGAAATTTTAGAAATGGTCGAAGACGACTCAACAATGATTACTAGAGGCATAGCAGCTCAAGATGAAGTTGAAAAAAAAGTTTCTCATAGTAAAGTGTGGAACGACAAGAACAATATTATCATTATCAACGGGTACAAGCGTTACAACCTGAAGATCATGCTAGAAGAGTTGTATTTTGCCAGCGGCAGAAATGAAGACTTTACATTAATTTTGTGCACAGACGAGGCCACATTTAAACAAAATGGAGTGCACAGTTTCCACAACAATCATGTTTGGGCAGTAGAAATCAGCATACTGTAAAAAGAACTAATTTTTAACATAGATTTCCATTAAGTGTTTGGGCTGGCGAGGTACATGGCATGTTTATTGGACCCTACTTTTTTCCACTTCGACTGACCAGTGAAATTTATTCAGATTTTCTTCAACACAATCTACCACAATTATTAGAAGATATTCCTCTAAATGTGAGACAGAATATGTGGTTCCTACATGATAGGGCTCCGCCACATTTTATATGAGAAGTTCATGAACATCTAAATAATGAGTTTCCGAATAGATGGATAGTTCGCAATGAACCCATTTCTTGGCCTGCTCCCCGTATTGAACTTGCGATTTTTTTCTGTGGGGCTATTTGGAAGAGTTGGTGTATCATGATGGAGCAGTGAATACTCTGTAGATTTTCAACAGCGCACTGAAAATGCTTGTGATTTAGTTCGTTGACGTCAGGATTTTATTTTCGAAGCTTGTAAAGAGTCGTGGATTCGCCGAGCAAGATTTTGCGTTAATCGAACAAATGGTTTTAAAAAGTTTTTGTAAAAACGGTATCCATTTAACTTGCTAATGATTTCATCAAATGATTTTTAATAATGTAAACTAACTCTCTTATTATGCAAGTTTTATGGTGATTTTTGGTATATAACTTCTTTTTACGAGTTCTACAAGCTGTTAAAATAAATGACTCAACTTTGAAAACACCCTGTATACAGGGAAAACCAAATTTGTCTGTGTATCAACACATGTTAGAAAGAGATAAAAGCCGTCTGGAGAGTGAAGGTCATCACCACATTGCCTAGCGACGGTGACGCAGAGGGTCGTGCAATCTGCCGCGTTGCACCAGCAAATGTGCGCACAAGCTTATATAGTAGGTTAAGTTACTGTCAAACCCAAGGAGGCTTGTTCGAATATTTAATTTAATATTTTGTTTTCAATTTGAATGGAATTATTTATTTCAATTTTCATTCTACTTAGTGATTTAATTTCCACCGATGGTGTTAGAATCAACACATCCTGAGTTATTGTTACATTTTGCTACAGCTCTGCAGGACTCCCTGAATATAGCGTTGGCCCAGTATGATTAGTTGGCTGTGGAAACCAAGGTCATTGAATGGCAACGTTGGTCTGCCCCAGCCAATGTGCATTGACCTATCATCCATATATTGGTGTTGGTCTATGTTGGCCCAATATGTGGATGCGACATAATAAACTTCACTGTCCAGTGTCTCTGAAATGTTACTACCTAGCGATATTTTTTGTTTTTTTGAAGTTGCTCATCTTTGTCTCGATAAGTAGTGCCGTAGCACTTAGATCTTGACAAGTTTTTATGTGTTTCAGGCACGCCATTATGCCCCAAGCACAATATTTATAGATGAAATAGACTCCCTCTGCTCAAGAAGAGGTTCAGAGTCGGAACACGAGGCATCCAGGAGAGTGAAATCAGAACTCCTGGTCCAGATGGATGGCATTACTGCTAGCAATGATAATCCTGGCAAAGTTGTCATGGTCTTAGCAGCAACCAACTTCCCTTGGGACATCGATGAAGCACTCAGACGTAGATTAGAAAAAAGAATATACATCCCCTTGCCTTCATTAGAAGGAAGAGAAGCCCTACTCAAAATCAACCTTAGGGAAGTAAAACTCGAACCTGACATCGACTTGAAAATGATAGCCAGACGTCTAGAAGGTTACTCGGGCGCGGATATAACAAACGTGTGTAGAGACGCATCTATGATGTCAATGAGAAGAAAAATATCCGGCCTCAGACCAGACGAGATCAAACAGCTACCTAAAGAAGAACTGGACTTACCTGTTACAATGAGGGATTTTGAGGAAGCGCTTTTGAAAAACAACAAAAGCGTCAGTAAAGATGATTTAGATAAATATGAAAAGTGGATGAATGAATTTGGTTCATCCTGATAGTCACTGATAGTATTTTAATTTAAAATTAAGGCTGTGGATAATGCAGTTGACAGTTTTTTCAATGTATGCAGGGTGCTTCATGGGGAGATATTTTAACGCCCGAATAGGCGGAGAGTACTAGCTATCACAAAAACATCCGTCTTTTGTGCCGGACATTCAGGGAGCTTAACGGTATCATAAATAGCACGTGAACTCTCATAGAGGGTGCATCAATGAAAATAAAAAGTTCTTTAATAGGAAATATTCGAAAACGGTTTTCACAACAAGATTGATATATCATAGGCGTTTATCTCTAAATTGTTTGGAAATATGGGTGTTGCACAATTCTGTGCCACAACAAACGTTTTTTTTTAATGAAACAAGAAACATGCTATATATTTGGAAAGGCCTTTCGAAATCAAGAAAATTGATATAATATACTGTAAGATTTTGATCATCATTAACTTTTTAACATTTGTCTGATAAAATGCCTCTAAATCTAACACTGATGTGGTGCATAAACAGTAATAAAATTAATAGATCATACAATCTTCAGCTTTATACTCTGAAATCAATAAAATCAGTATCTTCAGTTCTTACTCTTGGTCTGCCCAAATATGTGAAAGAAATTCAAACATTCCAATATACAGGAAAGGTTCGAAAATCTCGAAATTGGAGATACTACCAAAATATGTGAATTGACCTAAGCATACCCAAAAGTTGATAGTTTGCGAGTTACAATTTTATTTTCTATTTTTAATTACTGCTTGACAGGCATAAAATTCGGTATAGGGAATCCATTATTTTTTATGGCCAAACTTCTAGCGGGCGCCACTTACAGCACTATTTCGATAAATAACTTATCATAAGTTTTTTGTGCTACCCTGTATACAACAACTGACTGAACAATCTTATTTTCTCGTATTTCCCCAACAAAAAAGGTTTACCTGTTAGAAGTAACAGTTTTCGAGATATTTGTTTTTAAAAGTTCCAATGCATTATTTGTTCCATGACAATAAAACATTTTTATAACATAATAAGCAAGTTGCTTTACTTATTGTCAACTTAAAATTATTCATGAAGTTGAAAGCAATATTATGACAAACATCAGAAACCATAGCAACTCTACTCAGATATTATTCAATGCAACTTGATCATTATGTTATAAAAATGTTTTATCATCGTGGTACAAATAATGCATTGGTACTTTCAAAAACAAATATCTCGAGAACCATTAGCTTTCGACACTTCTAACCAGTAAACCTTTTTTGTTGTGAAAATACGAGAAATAAGATTTTTCGGTCAGTTGTTGTATACAGGGTAGCACAAAAAAGTTATAATAAGTTATTTACCGGAATAGTGGTGTAAGTGGCGCCCTCCAGAAGTTTGGCCATAAAAAAATAACGGATTCTTGTTTCTCATACTAAAAAACCTCCGTATACCGAGTTTTATGCCAAAATCTTAAATACTTCTCAAGCAATAAGGAAGAATAGAAAATAAAATTGTAACTTTGACACCCTGTATCTCGCAAACTGTCAACTTTTGGACTTAGGTATATTTAGGTCAATTCACATGTTTTGGTGTGTAGTATCTCCAGGTTCGAGATTTCCAAACCTTTCGCATATAGTTCATTTATTTAAGAAAATTACAATTTTCAGAAAGGTTGTGGTATAACATATTTTTTATAAGGGATGTTGTTAGTTTTGTCAAATTTTAGCTAGTCCGCACCTGTTTTTTTCCTATCCCTATCATAAACGATTCGATAGCATAAGCCAAGTAGGCGTACCAAGTTTCAGAAAAATATAACGGGTACTTGACAAGTTGCGAGGCCATAAAGGCAATAAAACTCCCTGAATCTCGGTTATAAGATGTTACAGACCCATCCATCAACCATCTATTACTTATAATCACCTTGATGGCCTCTATAGACGGCTGAAATATCTCGTTCTCCCAACGAAACACCCTGTATAGCTAACAGTCATATTTTTTAAGTTAGAAATTGGGGTAATTACAAGATTACTACTGAAGATTAACAAAAACGATAATCCATCAATCTAATAAACTGTGGGTGTCTCAATAAGAGCGTCAGATTTGATTTTCAAGCAAAACACGATTTCTTTTCGAATTAAGCGAGTATTAATATTTCAACATGAACAGGAATAGTTGCGATTAAACATGAAATAGGACATCCGGTAAATGGCCACCACGAGACCTCTGGCACAGGGTCAGTCTTTTCTTAAAATTCTGGATAACGTTTTCGCACAACTGTGGCTCTATTTCTTCGATAACGCGCCGTATCTCTTCTTTAAGGCATTTAACTGATTGTAGCTTGTTCGTATACACTTTTTCCTTCACATAGCCCCAAAGGAAGAAGTCAATTGGCGTTAGATCGCACCATCTTGGTGGCCTTGGTGGCCAAAAGTTGAAAATGTGCCTCATCAGAGAAAATGATTTTTTTCGAGAAATCCTCATCAATTTGGTGGTGCTCCAGTGCCCAATCAACGAATTCGCGGCGCTGCGCATGGTCCAGTGGCTTGAGTTCTTGCGTCAGTTGCACCTTCTACGCATGCAAGCCCAAATCTTTTGTCAAAATTCGTTGCAGAGTGGGTCTGGTAAGGTTCCATTCTTTTTCATTCTTTAATTGAACGGCGAACTGTCGACTCATTTGGCGCATTATTGCGACCGAAAATTGTACATACCTTGCGAACTGTTTCCGCGTATTTTTCTCCATTTCTGTCGTGAGTTTTCACAATAATTAAAGTTGCTCGTTTAAATACTGCTCCATGACATCTAATCGCGTGGCCTGGACATGACAGCTGTTATCAAGTAAATACGATACCATTTTTACAAAAAAATGTCGACAAATTCAAATCCGGCCCTCTTGTTGAGACACTCTTTATAAGCTGGTTGCTGATAAAAACACACGAGATATATAAAAAAAAAGAAAAACGTTACATATGCCCTCCAGAGAATTGAAAGGTTTAATCATGAATTTAAGTGGTACCATACACAACATACTCTTATCAAGGAAGATCCATATATTTTTACACCAAATACTCTGGTATAATGATTAAGAAGGTACCTAGCCAAACTCCAAGGGGTGATTTTGATTGGATTTTTTTTTATTCAGCAAATGCAGATGTATCAAGAAAAACACTGTATTGTTTCACGAATAATCGTTCATTTAAAAAAGTTTGATATCCCACATCTTCACTCCTTAAAGTTGTGCACTTTATTAACGCCCTTTATACTGGATGGATTTAAATATTAGGTGTTTTATTGTTATGTTTTAAATTTATTTATAAGCATTTTTTGTTATAATAGTAATATCTAGATTTTTTATAATATTTTATACAAATTATTATCAATTTATTATTGATCAATTTATATAGTATTCACATACTTTCGACAAACTAAATGTTTATAAAATATCATTGGACATCCTTTGACTTGTATGCCATTTTTAGGCTTGAACACAGAAATAAATGATAGTTACGAATTTGAGTAGCAATTTGATTCATTTTTATTTGATCATTTCAAATACTGGTATAATAAAAATCATTAACAGCTACATGGTGGAACAAAATCTGAAACTTATTTTGTGGTTTACGTGTCGATAATTCCCTCTGGCCACTAAAACCGGATGAATTGATAATCTTCTTTACTGTAAATGTTTCAATCACAAATATGATCTTCTGTACAATGACAATGTGTATTGTGTTAAATAAATGCACAATAGAAAGATGGAATGTTGCCAAAATCAATAACCGTGAGGTTAGGACTCCATGATTGTCTAGCTGCTAAATGAAACCTCATATCTTTCTGGCAACAATCGCTAAGTCCAAATTGATAGTTTCGAGATAATTGGATTTTAAACTTAAAATTCAGTTCTGTACAATAGAAATTAGATTAAGGATTTTTGAAAGGATGCACTTATACAAAGTAGGTCAGATTGAAAAATTATTTTTCGTAACTATCGAAAATCCAAACTTGATGGACTTGATGATTTTTGGCAGACTGTGAAGTGGTAATAGATAAAACACTTAGAAGTCTTTAAGTATTGTAAAAACTTTTGGGAAACTTGGTTGGAACATTGTTCTTCAAGAAAAAAACTCTTCTGCGTTACTTCTTGATTCAGCATTCTCTTTGCGATGTCGCTGCCTCTGAGGAATATTATGGAAAATGTAATCCTTCCGCCGACAAAAAATTTAGCTTCCAATAACTCGAGCACAGTTCCAATCTATCATCTCCGCTTCTTTTTCCAAACATTTGAAACGACATTTTGAGCAGTGGACGCACTGTGGAGTTTTGGACGCTTTTGGTTCTTTTTTAGAAATAGATGGTTGACCAAGGTATCTATACTTTTTATCGATATTTCGCTTTCATTTTGTCTTGTCTGCTTTATTCCTCCGACTTCTTTTTTTCGAATTTCTACCCATCGGCTCTAAAACCGTAACGTTAGTTGTAATATCGTGACCAAAGAATACCGGTATTATCAGATGACTTCGGCGGATTTTTCTGGGGAATGTAAAGATACCTTATGCCGTGTTAAAACAGAGCTCACAATAATCTGACAAGTTCCAAAATGTGTTAACCTTACACTCCTGCACATTTCACGAATATCCATCACGCTTTGACATCTACTGAGGTGAACAGCTGATCAGCAAGTGACATTTTTGTGTTAGTCTGCAACGTTGGCTATAATGAATCGGGTGTAAATCTAGAAAAAAAATGTTTTGTAGCGTTTTGTTTTTTTTGTATGCAAATAAACTTTTCTTAATGAAAGAGCTTTCAGCAAGTACAAAATGAATCTGTAGCGTACAAAAAAGCAAAACAAAATATGGCCCTGTCTACCTGACGTTGAGGATTTGTCAGAATTATGTGGCCTTTGCTGATATGGGGAATTTTGAAATATTACTAGATAACCAGCTATCATTGCACCGTGATGGATACTCGTGAAAAAGACTATAGCTGCTAAATGAAACCGCATATGTATTCAAACACATGTGGTTTCATGTAGTGACCAGAAAATTATGGGAGTCCTTTCAGCATAAAAACCAAGTGTTACACTAAATTTCTGGTTGTAAGTTTCGATAAACGAGGTCTCAAGTATCAAGACTAGCAAAGCACATACCTATATAGTATTAAAGTCCTGTAGAATACAAGAAATAATCAGGTCAAACAATTTTTTTACTACTAAGGAGAGAAGTCGACATTATTGCAATGCTACACTGAGAAGTAGCTTTCCTCTCCCTTGTTGAATAATGATTAGGAATAACACTTAAATAATGTCATTGGAAATTGTACCCTGCTAACTTCATTATGTTAGTACCTACAACTAATATTTGGTATAGCTCGTCGGCTACCCTCAGAGGCGGACTTCCCTTCTAGACGCACAGAATACGGCTCTGGAGAGTCTGGCTCAGCCCCTCATTGCTGCTCGCAGTTTTTTTTTAGGTAAATAAAGGTAAAGTAACTCTATAAAAGCGTATCTTCCCCCAAGATTTTTTCAAGAGCAGACGTAGCAAAATTTTTCAATGGGGGAGGCAGATACTAAAGATCGCTAAAGATGTACACAAAAGCATGCTAAATATGCAAATTTTAACGTCCATCCGGATTCTCGGAGGGTAAAACGGCCCCCGTTAGCACCCCCTGCAGGCGCCCATGATGCGTGATGTTTATATCTCGAAAATAAATTTGGTTTAGAACACTTACCTAAGCTTGCAAAACTTCAAACTACTACTTGCTTTTCCTGGCACCTTTCCATTGAAAATACTAATGTGTGGGTCATCAATTGCCATTTTTTTGAAAACGTGCAAAATATCCGAATTTGGAAGAAAAAAGGCGGCAACATTCAAACGGTTAAACCGTGCTCAGATTACAGGACAGCCGTAACATGCTTGTGTTGTCTATTTACGCATTGTTGCCAAGTAGTTGTTAGTATTAACCATATATACATTTCAGTTTTTTGTTATCCATGCACTGAATATTTCACGATAAAACTAATCCGTTATTATTTTAAAATCCATCAGGTTGATTAATTTCATCATTCTAAGCTTCTACTTGAGGTTTCTAATGGCCACTACACTGTTGCAATAGATACTCTGTTACTGGGCTAAAGTAATCAGTGGTGTCGTTAGGCGCTAAGAAAGGGGTTCACCTAAACTGGAGAATTCCTCCACATCTTTATATTAGGTATGAATTAATCTAAATTGAAATAATAATGGGATATCCGTAGTAGGTGTGAAATTATTTACTGATTTCGTTTCCCAATTTAATGGAACACACGCAGTTGTTAACGGATTTTAGGATTTGCAAAAGGTATGCTGTCACTGTTTCTGCGACATAATTAACTTATGGGAGGAGATTCCAGGAGTGAATCTTCTTCTTTCAGCTACGATAAGTACGCACCGCTTCAGATGAAAGAGTGACTCAAATCCCTTCCCGTTTTATCATGGCGCGTGGCAATGCCCACTAACAAATTATTTTACAAATAATTTTTGGATGATACAGGATTTTCCACGCAAAAGAACGTGTGTATTGGTCCAGCGAATACCTTAATCCCCTCCAAAGAAATAATGTTTTCTTAATTTCAAAATCGTAAGTCCAACACCCTGTATTTCGGAAAGGGGATAGATTTATATGAAAGTGTTTTTTTGGATCTACTTTCTGCGCTAGCACTGAACACTTACGAAACATGCAGAATTTTACTCAACTCATATTCTTCTAAAGCATGTTTTTAGATTTTATTTCAAAATAATAATAGCATTTATTATCTAACAGAAATGATCCATTTACAAGACAATATTATAATTAACTAAGGATACGTTTAAGATTTCTAAAAGTACAATTAAATATATCACAAAAATTATAAGTTTCATTAAAGTTTGCGCTCATTTCTCTGACTTTTGACGTCAATAGCAAGCTCGTATTTGCACGCAAACAAAAGAATAGCTGATCCTGTCGAGAGAACTAAATCTAAGAAAATTAAACGATATTTGGGATAACAGTTTAGACCAATCTATCAAGTGGTTCAGGAGCTTATACAAAAAATAATTGAACTATGCTAACGTGGGTTCTTCAGTGAGGCGAAATCACGCCCGCCCCTGTTTATACATACACTGAAGCAAAAATGATCCTGTAAGATGAGTCTAATTGTCTTGGACTAAAGCTGAGATCCCCGAATTCAAATTCTCGCGCGCTGTCGACTTGTGAAAAATACCCGCGTTTACATTTCAGTGCTGCCGTGCAGCGCCCCCTATAGCGCCACAGTGGCGTAAGTGCGAGCAGATGGAAATATAGTTCCATAGTTTTTGTTATATTTCCTTTGTTCAAAGTGCGTCTACATGCAGAAAAATATCGGAAAATCTTCGCGAAGATCAGTAGAGGTTATTTTTGTGCGAGATATGTGGGTGTAATCGAGGTGGAAAGCGAGAAGAGAATGAGAAATTGATGGCGTAGGAATCGGACCTTTACCCATAACCGCTATAACCTCCATTCGTGTTATTGGAGTAGATACGGAATTAAGTTGTGTGTCAGATGTGTCTATCATATCGGAATTACTCAAAAAGTTTGGTGGGTAAACCTATTTTCAGAATAAAGAAAGTGACAAAGTGAGTAGTTTAGTATGTATTTGCAAGGCTCCCGACGCAATTTAAGCTCCAAAAATGAAAGAAAGCTAAAGTCAACGAGTATAACGGCGGGGTGTTGGCAACGATCGGCCGTGCTAGATCACAGCCGTTTTTCTTAACATGGCTGCAACGCAGGCCGAAAAGCAACAAAATGACGTGAATAGTGAGAAAGTGCAGTCGGAGCAGCATCTGAACGCACGGATCGTTTCCTTGCAGAATGGGACCGATAAGAATAGTGGCCGCGGAAGTGGTAGTGTAGCGCACACGAAGCCGAAAAACGCCGCCGGCCCTGGGCCAGGGCCAGGTCCAGGTCCCGGTCCCGGCAAAAACATCGAAATGAGTCAATATCGACAGGAAGCCGGCAGTGGCGGTAACGGTGCTAGTGCTAGTGGCAGTGCTTCTTCAGGAAACACCACGCAAAACAACGCGAACGCTCAGTCAACGACACCGACATCTGCGACGGGCCCCGGCTCTCAGGGGGCCCCCGCGACTGATTCCAACCCGAACACGAATTCGAGCGCTCCTTCTTCGGCTGCTGGCTCACCGCTGGACTCAGAACCTTCGTCGCAACAGAAGCCTCCGTCTCCGAGCAATTCGGCCCAGCAGCATCAACCTGTGCCCCCCCAGCCTGTGCAGACTGACTCGCCAGCCGCGAACGCGTATTCGGGGCCCCCGGAACAGCCCCCGGTTATCAACGACTCCCACGGGTATGCCGGCTTCCCCTACGGCAACGAGAACGCGTCGTTTGGCTCTCCGTTCGGGCCGAGACAGTCTTTC